TCTTTTCAGTTGATCGTTCAAGTTACCATTTCAGTTACTAGCTTTCGTTTTTAATTCTGTATTTCAAGTCCATTTTCGGTGCAATTGTATGTTTGTTCACGTGTACAACTGTCTACAATTTGGATGATTAAAACTTTGATGAAAATGTCTAAACGTTACCTTTTCCTTATCCAGTGGTGTGCATGTTAGTGGGTGAAGGGGACGCATCGACAGCATCCACAACGTATTTACTGATAGCCGTAGATTGATTCTAACTGAAATAGAACACATTAAATAACATTTTGTGGTTAAGAATATAACTTAAATCTTTAAAAAAAAATAAAAAGGATATCTCCATTTCATTGTGTCTCGGAATATATTTTGTAATTGTGGTCTTAAATCGGAAAGGTTTCATGACATCTTGGAATGGCGGTGAAATTATCTAGGTCACAACTGCCGCTTTTGTTACAGAAGCTTCGGCCCTTGTTCCCAGATAACATTAAGGTGAGTTTTTTTCAGCACGATTCGTTGCCAACAGAAAATCAATCTAGGACTAATCAAATTCTGTGCCACTAAATCTGAGTATCTGGGCCCTTTTACAGTTGTACTCATTTTCCCAGTTCACTCTTTTTGTATTGACAATATTTATAGATTTGTGGAGAACTGAAATGTAAATTAGAAAACCGATCTCAGAAACTTTGTGGTTTTGATTTTTTGGTAGATACATGGCCAAATTTCTCAACAGTCATCTCGAGACCCGATAACACCAACAACAGGGTAAGCTTTTGTTTAAAGTCTAGAATTTTCATATGTAAAAAACATTGAAATTACTTCCGGTTGAAAAAGCTACCTCAAGCTAATCATCGTAAAATATCTCAATCGGCGTGTGAAAAGTCATCTTCACGCATATCTCCAGTCGACCAAGGTCAATGCCAAGAGGTTTAACCAAGGACCAGCTGGTAGAAAGGATCCTTAACTGTGAAAGTTGTTATCCTTGTAATATATAGTTTTCATTTTTTGTTTCAAGGAGAAAATTTTTATTTGAAAACAATCTAATGGCAATAAAGCCAAAGTTCTTCTGGTTGTGTTTCTGAATGCTCTGGCGCCATGACACCAAAATCTTATTCTGAATTGAGACTGGGCGTATCTTATAGTTGATGTGCAGTGATGTCTTTTTTGGTCGTGAAAGTCCGTCGTTTCGGTGAATTCTTAAAAGTTTCACTATTTCTTTGTGTTATTTTTTTCAGTTGAAATTCATCGACAACCATCATTCTGTTTTGACACAGGATCGGGAAAAGCTACGGGAAATCTTAGAAAATTCGGATGTTATCAAATGGACGTCGCCTATCGTACAATTTGCTGGTAATTCTTCTTTCCACAATTCTTGTAAAGCCATCAACAGGTACTTCACAACATATGACATGACTGTCCTTTAAATAATAAATATTTATTCATTCATTCATTCAAAATGTGTTTTGTTTTGTTCAAGATGTTAGGGAAGATTTGTATGACGTCATATCCGAGGCAGCCGACAGTCATGGTTTTCATGCGAAGTTAAGTTTTACATATTTAGCAATGTTTGTGGACAGCGAAATGGCCAGTATGTAAGTACACTGAATATAGAATTGTCTACAACCTACCCCGTCCCATCGCCCTCCAGGATACTGAATATAATGAAAAAGGAACCGGCAAATTTTGAAAAATTTAGTTACACGACATTTCTATGCACTGATAAAAGAGACAAGATTTAAAAGGCGTATAAGCACAACTTATAAAATTCATGTGGGCGAATAAAGACACCAAGTTTTCTCAAATCCGACAAAGAATTGTGCCTTGTAGAGTGTTTTCGAGCAGTTGTGGACGGGCGTTGAACCCCGAAAACTTTTCCTGCTTGACTAAAGCAAGCAAAAATTGTGCAGTGAGTTGAATGATTGTATAGCTTGTTTTGTTTCAGGCCGGTTCCCGAGGGACTAGTTATGAGACCCCTATCAGAGGACCATGCTGAAATTGTGATGAACAATGTAGACTATAGTGGTGAAGGGAGTGTAGAGTACTGTAAAGAGCTGATTAAGCATTACCAATCACTGGCAATGTTTGACGAGAACAATAACTTAGTTGCCTATACTCTAGAAACTAACCACGGAGTGTCGGGAATGGCACGGGTGATGCCGAATTACAGGCACAAGCATATTGGATTGGTACTGTTGTCACAATTTGACAAGCTTTTAGTTGAAGAGGGTCGAAGGATGGGTGGGTGGGTAAATGTAGAAAACAATTCAATGCGTCGTTTGATGAGGAAGTTAGGATGCACCGAGTACCCACAAAAACATATTTGGATAGACTGTTTTAAAAAATAAATCTTGTTCATATTCAGCATTCAGTAATCGCTATTGAATCATAACTGAATATTTGAGAGACGGTCTAATTAAAATTAAATTTCTCGAATACTTACCTATATTCAAGTTGTAATAAATAATCTGATTGGAAGATAAAAATTAATTAAACCAATAAGATGAAAGGAGCATTTAAATTTAGGTAAAGTTTTTCAGAACAATGCCGCTGATTGGTCAACCTATGTTCTATATATAGCAAGTAGTAAATGGTATAGTAATTGACCAATCAGACGTCAGATAATATTCCAGATTAGATTTTGACATTATAACACTTGTAAAAAAAGAACTCGATGAAAATTGTATAGCAATTGATTATTAATTTGACATTTTGAAATCTAAATGTGATAACTACCTCAGATTATCGATCATTTTCCAATATTTTAACATGAACAGATAATTACGACGAAAAACTCAAATAATAAATATATATAAAATTTGTATACGAGTTGTAGACAACTATATTTTTTAGGCAATTGTTATCAGTTAGAAATATTATGATTTTTGTTCATGATAAAGGTGCCATAACATCATTACCTGTTGCGTATGGTTGTTGATGATGAAAATAGCCATTAGGTCCGAACACAACTCTCAATTCCGTTGCCAGAGAATTGCTTTCGAAACTTTGTACCGCTATTCTTATTCGCAACCATCCGCAACTGGAAATCGCCATGTTGT